TAGTAAAAATAGAACCTAAGCTTTTTGGGCAAAGTCTAATTTGATCACTTATTATCACATCCAATTTAAGGCCACATCTAATTTTTTTTTTTTTTTGAGACAAAGTTTTGCTCTTCTTTCCCAGGCTGGAATGCAGTGGTGCAATCTCGGCTCACAGCAACATCTGCCTCCTGGGTTCAAGTGATTCTCCTGCCTCAGCCTCCTGAGTAGCTGAGATTGCAGGCATTTGCCACCGCAGCTGGCTAATTTTGCATTTTTAGTAGAAATGAGGTTTCTTCATGTCGATCAGGCTGGTGTTGGACTCCCGACCTCAGGTGGTCTGCCCACCTTGGTCTCCCAAAGTGCTGGGATTACAGAAGTGAGCCACCACGCCCAAATATACTGTACATTTTAAGAAGTTCTATCATGTTGTATCTTTGCATTTATCCCATATCACTAAAAGAACATAAGTTATCATGCTGTTGGGTAAATTAGCAAAATCAGCCCTTCCTGAGTTTAAGGGAAAAGTTATTTTTAAAAATAACTTAATAAAAATAACGTACATTCTTTTATACAAGAGTATATTTCCTCTTAATTAGGATGCATGTTTATTAAACTCTGAAGATACAACTTCTTGCAGTGTGGTGGGTTGGCTTTAGTGTAACGTCTTCAACATGTAGTACTGGCTATCAAAGAATAAGAAAATTACTGAGTATGAGTGTGTTTTATAAACTTTCTGAGTTTTCAAATGTCTTAATATTTTTTAATATAACAATAAAAATGCCTAGATTGACTGTTTTCCTTTGTTCTCTGTTACAGTTTATTCCCTGCTTTTTAAAAAAAGCTCTTAGACTGCCCCCAATTTACAAAAATAATAGTGTGAGTTCACGTATAACCCTCTTCCAGCGTCCTCGAGTGATGATAGCTTACGTAAGCATAGTAAATGAGCAAAACCAAGCAATTGACATTGGATATAATGCTAATAACTGAACCACAGACCTCAGGTTTCACAAGTGTTTACGTGCACTCATTTATTTACTTTTTGGTGTATAGTTGTATGAAATTTTATCTTTTTTTTTTCTTGGAGATAGGATCCACTCCTGACCTCAAGTAAAGTAATCCACCTGCCTCAGCCTCCCAAAGTGCTGGGATTGCAGGCGTAAACCACTGCTCCTGGCCATGAAATTTTATCTTTTTTTTTTTTTTTTTTTTTGAGATGGAATCTCCCTCTGTCACCCAGGCTGGAGTGAAGTGGCGGGATCTTGGCTCACTGCAACCTCTGCCTCCTGGATTCCAGTGATTCTGCCTCAGCCTCCCAAGTAGCTGGGATTACAGCCACGTGCCGCCACGCCTGGCTGATTTTTGTATTTTTAGTAGAGATGAGGTTTCACCATGTTGGCCAGGCTGTTCTCAAACTCCTGACCTCATGATTTGCCCACCGTGGCCTCCCAAAGTGCTGAGATTACAGGCTTCAGCCACCTCACCTGCCTGAAATTTTATCTTTTAAAGAATCACGTAACTACTACCATAGTCAGCATACAGAAATATTCCAACAGGACAAACTCCCTAGTGCTACCCTTTTAAAACACACTATCTCTCCAACCCTAACCCCAATAGCTAGTGATCTCTCCACTACGTACTAGAATTTTGGCATTTTGAGAATCTTATATATAAATGGAATCATATAGTTTGTACCTTTGAAATCAGCTGTTTTCACTTGGCATGATGTCCTAAGGTATATCCAAGTCGTTGAGTGTATCAGTTCTTTCTTGGCATACCCTCCTAACCTTTTTAAAAGTTAGGTCTTACATTGTTACTTTTGAATATAAATGAAAAAGTCCTCATAGACTTGAAAGGTAAAGCTTTTCTGTTGAAGTCAAATTGAGATGTCATTGTTTCATATCAAAGTTGATATGTAAACTGGAAATAAATGGACTTTGGATCCATTTCCAACCCAACTGTGGCTTTCCGAGACAACCTGAAAAAACTTCATAGTAGCAAGCCCAAGTGTAGTAACATGGTGGCTCCCTACTGTTCCCCACTGGAACCATGGACAAGTTAGTGCATCTTTCCCTACATCATTGCTCTTTCAAGTTAAAATTAAGACATGTAAATGGCAATGGTGGTGTCTTGCCCTGTGTTTCCATGCACATTGTTTGGGGCTTTAGTTTTTTTAATAAATAGCATAAAAATTCACTTACATGTTTTATTGGAATAAGTAATGGAATTGTCAATACCACATCAAGTGTGTTCTCTTTAGCCCTCAGTTTCACTCAACAAGTGAGTGTAAATACAATTTATATTGCACACTATTGAAAAAACAAAGTGAATTGACTGACAGCCTCATCATGTACCTTTATCACTGGGAGCCTTGTAATGTTTATACCAAATAAGAAGCTATCTTAATAGTAAAAATAGAACCTAAGCTTTTTGGGCAAAGTCTAATTTGATCACTTATTATCACATCCAATTTAAGGCCACATCTAATTTTTTTTTTTTTTGAGACAGAATCTCATTCTGTTGCACAGGCTGAAGTGCAGTGGCGCAATCACAGCTCACCGCAACCACATTCCGGGTTCAAGCAATTTTCCTGCCTCAGCCTCCCGAGTAGCTGGTAATTTTTGTGTTTTTAGTAGAGATGGGGTTCCACCATGTTGGCCAGGCTGGTCTCAATCTGACCTCAGGTGATCCACCCACCTCGGCCTCCCAAAGTGCTAGGATTACAGGCATGAGCCACCATACCTGGCCAAGTCCACATCTAATTAAAGATAAAATGTCTAAGCCGTTTTGGAGCTTGAATTTAGACTGCAGATTAATTCAACAACACAATGTCTTTTTACTAAATATGTGCCAAGAGAGGAGGAACCATTACCAAAGCCTACTCTAGAAGGTTCTTATAGTGTTTCACTACAAGAAGGTTGATACAGTTTGAATGTTTGTTCCCACCCAAATCTCATGTTGAATTGTAATCCCTAATGCTAGGTCATAGGGGCAGGTCCCTCGTGGTTTGGTGTTATCTTCAAGATGTGAGTGATTTCAGGTGTGATCTAGTCGTTTAAAAGCTTACAACGTATATGGCATCTACCCACCTCCCTGTCAGCCCAAACCTCTTTTCTTTATAAATTACCCAGTCTCAGATGTTTCTTTAGAGCAATGCAAAAATGGCCAGCACAAGTTATTTGGGAATTATTTGCTCTGATAGCTTTTAGGCATCTTTAGAGAAAGCATTAGTACTAGGAAAATTGGATTTTAAAATTTTAGGCCAAGTGCCATGGCGCATGCCTGTAATCCCAACAATTTGGGAGACCGAGGCAGGTGGTGGATTGCCTAAGGTAAGGAGTTCAAGACCAGTCTGGCCAACATGATGAAAACCTGTCTCTACTAAAAGTACAAAAAAAATTAGCTGGCGTAACTAAAAATACAAAAAATATTAGCCGGGCATGGTGGTGTGCGCCTGTAATCCTAGCTTCTTGGTAGGCTGAGGCAGGGGAATTGCTTGAACTAGGGAGGTGGAGGTTGCAGTGAGCTGACATCAAGCCACTGCACTCCCGCCTGGGTGACAGAGCGAGACTCTATCTCAAAAACAAAAACGAAAAAAACAACTCTTAAGTGACATATCTCTGAATTTCTTTCCTCCAGTCCCACAGCATGCTGTTTATAAGATAACATGGATGCTACCTCAAATGGAATAGGAAAATGATGGAGCTTATATTACCTAACTTCTGGGAAACAAACCTGTTGGTCCAAGTCCTGGCCAATCGGCAACCCACCCTTACCCCACTTCACCAAAAATCTCCTCACTCAACCTCTAAGCTTCTTGCTGGTGAATTTAAATCAATAATTACTCCATGCTCCACTTTTGTCCCCTGCCTTATCCTAACATGTGCTAAGCCCACCCCACAGAAGTGGATGCAGACATGTTAAACAGTATCCTTGCCTTTGCCAGCTATATTCTATGGAAAACAGATATACATAGGAAATAGTCACAACAGTTAAGAGAGTATGATGAAAAGCCAACGTGAGTGATCTAGACTCTAAGGAGCCACAACAATGTAACGGTGATCACTTCCATCTTGGTAAGTCTTACTGTGTGCTCACAGGGCATTGTGCAGAGCTCTTCACATACATTAGTTCATTTAAGCCTCCTGGCTGACCCTGGTTGGTGATAGCTAAGGTTTGAGTGTTTGTCTCCTCCATGAAGATTCAGTTTCATGTTGAAACTTAATCTTCAGTGTGGGCGTATTGAGAGGTGGGGCTTTTAAGAGGTGATTGGATCATAAGGATCCTGCCCTCTTAAATGAGTTAATCCGTTCACAGATTCATGGATTAATGGTTTATCTTAGGAATGAGACTAGTGGCTTTATAAGAAAAGGGAGAGAGACCTGAGGTAGCATGCTTAGCCCCCTCAACCTTAGATGCCCTGTGCCACCTTGGGATTCTGCAGAGTCTCCACCAGCAAGAAGGCCCTCATCAGATGCAGCCCCTCAACCTTGAACTTCTCAGCCTCCATAACTGTAAGAACACATTCCTTTTCATAAATTACTCAGTTTCAGATAATCTGTTGTAGGCAATGAAAACAGACTAAGACAGTGATTGTTATCCTCATAGTTGAGGGAAGGCCTCAGGGAAGTAACTTGCTACCAGAGATTCAAGCTTAAGTATAACCCTAGCACTCAAGTTCTTACTAAGCCGTTGAGAAATCACTCTCAGGCCTAAGGAATTCAGGGAGAGCTTTCTGCAAGAAATAGATCTTGAGCTGAGTAAATTATTTCAAATACTCCAGCCAATGCTGTCTTTAAATATTGTGCTAGGGTCCTCCAAGCTGCTTCACTTTCCTTTTCTTCAGAGAGTCTCTTGCCCTTTAGCCAAGACCAGAAGCAATTATTTTTTACTCATGTGTTCTGAAATAGGCAACCCCAG